GCCAGATTGTCTGAAAAAAATGCACTGACTTGAGTAGAAGCAGCAAAAACCCAGAAAAGATCGCTGATTCGAAACAAATTGCACACCTACATATAGAACATTGCACTAACTGTGACATTTTAGCACGCCGAAACATTAAATTACATGACTACACAAAAGAAATAGCTGAACGAAGCACAGAACGAAGAAAGCCGACCGCCGTTGCTTACAAAGATGGCGGATATAATGATTCCCGCCTCATTCTGATTGGTTGCTAAGCTGAAAGGCACATTTAAGAAAGTGAGTTGTGTTTAATTGCACTCTTTTTGAATCACGTCCATTTATATAGTTGTTTAGCCATTCATAGGATATTTAAGCTTGTTTTCTTTAGCCTACTAGAACTCTCTTGCTTTAAAAGTACCTTGGGAATAGAAAATTAGACTAAGTAGTCATACCCTCACTATTCCACAACAAGTGATTTAATTTCAATATTCCTGAAAAATATCTGAATTGCTTTTCGTCCTTTCTTTATCTTACCTCCTTATCCAGCCCTCTCGAGATATACCACCGAAAACACATATAGAATAAGTGATGTCGTCCTTCACCATCGTTTATTCCTTATATTATCGAGAGAATGCAAGGTCGCGGTTTTTAGAAGTTCTCAAATTTACGTGGATTTATTCTAGACCATCAGTTACACGTTGCAACACAACCTCCATAAAGCGCGCAAACAGTTTCATCGACGATGAAACGATATTATTTACATTCAAACGTGAGAAGTGTCATCAACCATAATTTTATGATCAACGTAATATAAAATATCAAACTAAGTTAGTGACCTGTGGTGGCATTGGGCCCTAACACGAGACAATATGTGAATTAAATATTCACATTTAACGCGGAGAAAAACCCAACGATCGATAAGGCGGGAATAATGAATTGAAGGAGTTGGAAATGGTCGGCAGCGCTCCAGGGGTATCGCGACACTTTTTTGCGCTACTTCTTCATTTTTGCTTTGTGCACAGCCAAAATTTGAAATTAATCAAAAATAAATTTGAAAGTTCATTTTTCGTCTTCATAATTAAGTGAAAAGAGGTTTTTCCTTTTTGCGGTACATGGTATCGCGAAGTCATTGAAAATTCATTATTCAGGTGCTACTAGAATAGTTTTTTCATATTTGCATCGCAGACTGGCAATTATTTCTACTTAACTATACACTCAGAGCAGACAAATCGTTTATTTTTATATGAAATGACATTATCTAAGCATATATTGTCATAAAAATTGTATTGTCGTCAAGGTTACCAAAACTGCGCTGCAACTAACGATACCACGATAACATTTATCGTTTTTCCCTTCTCTATTACAATTTTGGCTGATTTTCACTGTTTTATTCGACTTTTATGGCAGACATAGGCTAATACTGAAACTAGTAGCTGTCTTTAGGGTTTTAAGTATTATGTATATGCTGTAGATGGTTATAACACATACCAATATGTTAATATCACCTTCTACAGTTAGATATATAAGCTAACAAATCATTATATTGCAGGAAATAAATCATAATCATGCGAGAGAGGTACAATTATGTGGAGATTTTACCAGAGAGTAAGCTAAGATTGCTTTATAAAGCTAATTAGCTTATAGGTAGTATATTACCTCTTGAACAGAGTTCCAATGTTCAGGCTGCCGGTATTCTTGCAAAGATAGCTAATAGCAGAAATAAGTACTATTATAAAGCGGTTACGAGAAAGCATCGGAAAGTACGATTGGGTAATCAAGATATTTTGATCTCAGGTGACCAGATTGTGTGAGATCGTATATAATGATCTTCGAAAATCACCGGAGGCCTGTCTAGCTTATATGCTGATGCCGTAAATGACAATTAATTATACCTTGCGTGAGACTAAAATAAAAAAGGCACCAATAATTGCAGATTATACAGGACGATTCAAAGTAAGTTCACATAGCATTCTTATATATATAAAGCAAATAAGCGTGATGTGCCAAATGCGCTCTCGATTTGTAATTGAATACCGGTTTCTCTTTCTATATTAGTTTTGGGTAAACATTCATATTGTAATAGTTATTTCCTGTCTATCTTATTTCCAGCTGGCTTCGCAAGTGTTCACAGACCTAACTAGAACAATTCTTAGGAACTAGAAGTCATTTATTGATAGATCATTTGTGCTGGATTTAAACTTTAATAAACGTTTTCATTTATAACGCATCATTCTTTTACATACGGCGATGCTTATCTATCGTAACATCTGGAAATTCGACCTAGTAGTATAGTATATCATGTTCAAGGTTGCAGTGTTTGGTAAACGGTCTGTATGACTAATCGCGTGTGCGCCAAACTGGTAATTATAACACAAGAACGCGAAACAACATCCCTGTCTCACAGCCATATAAGACTGCACAGTACACTTTCCCTACCGTAACGCTATAAGAATGAGTTAATGCTCATAAATGAATTTGTGTACAACTAAAAAGATTACAGCGTATTTAACGCTGTAATCTTTTTAGTTGTACATCAAGAAGCATAGTTATGGTCAGTGTTAACAATGGATTCCGACGATGTAGCTTCATCATTAGCACCGATTAAACTCATCACTTGTGCGCATATGTCTTCCGATGCTTCGAAGCATGAACGGATGAGTTTACTTGCCAAGGGTTCACTAAGAGCATGGATTGAGTGGTAATTGTTAGTGAACTTCTCTAGCAGATCATCACTCCCGGTAGAGATTGACATGTTGTCCAGCGCACGAAGAACCAAGTCCATTATATATTTCCTTGTCCACCGGCTGCTATGTCGAAATAAGTCTACAATGCTTATAGAGACAAAAGAACACTTACCTCCACTTATTAGATCTTTAGAATGTGCATACAGAATATGACCACAGGGCAGCATGTAGTCATTGAAACGCTCACAAGCACATCGTGCACGTGAAGTATCAACAACATACATCATACCCTTGTCGTAGCACCGGATGTATTCCCCTGCTATACATTCGTGTCTCATTGACCTAACACGTTTATAAATTACAGCTACAATTTTAGCTGCAAAAGATGTGAACTCATTTAAAAGAATTTGAAATGACATAGGAACCTGGAACTAATGAAACATTTAACTATATTTCTTACCTCAAGAATTGGAAAACGTTGAGGATCCTTCACAGCGTCATATGGACGCAAACGTAGGTCAGTATCTGTTCTGCTCCAAATTTTCCAGAGCGTCAATAGCAGAGAATCACCTCTTCTAAGACATTCTTTTAGATGTTTATGAGCACTTTCGACACGGTTGTTCGTGTGGTTACCCAGGCTTAATACATGTCGCCGATAACAACGGGCCCACATTGACTTCCGGGCAATCTAGTAATCTTTGATGTAATCATACACCCGTGGGAAATGGATCCTCAGATATTCGTACTTTTGAGTAAATCTTAATATAATGCGTTACGAAAAACGAAGCTCACTTATCAGACCGTCTAGTCTTTACAAGGTGTTCCAAGCATTCGCGTACATCAGGATTTCGGAACTATAGAAAATAATTTGTACAGCTAACACTTACCTTCCTGAAAAATGCTCTTAAGACATGGAATGAACAAATTACTATGTCGGCATGACTGTGCGTAGACTGCACTGCTGAAATTTCGGTTGCTGCCGAATCCATAACAAAAGTGCGTGTATCATAAGTACAGCACATTATATCTTTGAAGCATTCCAATAGCGTCACGACATCTTCGCGTCGTTCTTGCTTGCAAAGAGCATACATAACAGTGTGCCCTTGCCCAAGACTATCAGTCACCACTAGCTGGAACAGTGGAAAACTGTAAGATAAATAAATTGCGATTCGTTACTTACCCAACTTTGTTGGTCTGATGAGTCGAAACAATACATGTTACCTCTGGGAACGCGTGGTAAACAGCTACTTGCTCCTTGCGACTGAAGCAAATCATAGATATGTTCCCATGTTCACTTGGTACTTTAACTCCAGTGTTTACTTGAACACGTTGTAAAATGTTATTGATATTTTTAATATCTAAGCTCAATTAATTACAATGTGATTTCAACAACCTGGGTACCACTGTGAACGCATTTTAGACTTGGGTCATCATTGTTCTTTTTACATACTGACATAACGTACCTAGTATGCGTATACTGCAAAAATAATCATTAACCACAGAAGTCATATTACCTTATGTACTTCTTTCAAACAGGTCTCAAAATTGTCCCAACTTGTAAATCTCCAAGATAACATGATATCATTGAAGATTCGTCCTATATCATGCATCATTACGATGGCATCATCTTCGTTACTTGAAGGGTGGACGTTATCAGACATGGTGTGGTTGAACTCAATTCAAATCTAAAAATGTCTTGATTTGAACGCCTCTGAAAAACTTCACGAGTTGTCGATGTGACGCACCAATCATGTTGAAACAGTTTGACCTTCAAGTGCTCACAACCTCCATCAGTGGACGATACCCTTGAAGCGTTGCCGAAATGGTCGGCACAGTACGGCCGTAAAATTGTGGGTTTTCGCGCACGTGTAACATATTCTCGTGGATTTTTTGTGTCGTTATTTATCAACTATTAACAGGCTTTTTTCCATCTCACGTACCTTTTTGTATTGTTTATGGTTGCTACATAGTTTTTATTCCAATTTATTTGCAGTTTGACGTATTATTTGCTTACCAGCTTAGTGACTGTTTAGTAAGCCTAATTAGGTTATTTGCAACAATACAAACTCAAGCAAGTAAGATTCACCATTTTTCAAGTTATGAAATAGGTCACAGATTAAGTTTTCAAGGAAATAAGCTCTAAAACATTACATATGGTTCATCTCGTTTATTGTGGTGATGATGAACATGGATGTTTGTAGTTGTTTATAAAATGTAGGTACAAGCAATTAAGCGTTAATCCATTTATGAGTATTATATAACTTGTTAATATTTAGTCATAAACAGTTATACCTATTATAAGTATCATCGCTTTGTACTTAAATGACATAATAATAATAATAATAATTTATATTCTGAAAAAATTATAATTACAGAATTCACGCCAGTTTACAGGCATGATCAATTTGATATAAATAATATCATTATATGTACAGAACGAACATGTTTTATGAGTTTTAAGTTTACTAGTTCAGTAATTGTTTGGGTATTACAGCGATCCAATGTATCAGCCCGGAACATGTAATATTTCTTAACTGGACTGTCTGTTGATTTATAAACGATGTAATTAAGGTCATTTCGTGTGCCAGATCGATTTAATGATAAATATCTACAACTAGAGAAATTAAAACGAAAACAGAGAGCACGGAACAACAAAGCAGTAATTACCGAAATATGTCAAACAGATCTATCAAAATGCGTATGTCATGTGACACAGTGATATACTGTTGATGATATTCAAATTAGTTAAACTAGCTGGGGACGGTATTAACATAAAGTGACAGCGAGTAGGTGGTTTTATCCAGAGAATGCACTAATAAAAACGCCTAAACATTTAAAGTTCCTATAATAACACTTGTGGAGTGAGATACACTTGCGGGTGCTAGAGCATTCAATGCATTTTCGGAGGAGCAATATGCATCGATGCAACGTACAAATAATGGGAGTGATTTAATCGTACGGATATGTTCTGGTAGGTTATTCCAGAGTCTAGAAAATTTACAGGCAAAGTAATTCATATAAAGAGATGATTTAGAATAAGTTTGTTTCACAAGTGCCAAGGAATTACGGGTTTCATAATGAGGAGTCTCTGCATATTGAATTACATGATTGGATGTAAAGGATAATTTATTAAGTAGTTTGAAGAAAAAAATAAGATTTAGTTTGAGTCTCCTCTTCCATAAAGGGTCTAGCTCTAGTTTTTTACATCTAGAATTATAAGTTAAGGAACAATCAGCTCCAAGAATACGAAGTGTAAATCGTCTCTGTACTGATTCCAGCCTTAATTTATCCTTTATGCGCGCACTGCTAAGAATAAACGTGCAATATTCTAGAAGAGGTCGAACACAAACTTTGTACATTAAAATTCGTGATTCATTGTTATGAAGGTTTCGAATTATGTAACCTACTAGTCGTTGTGACTTGGAGGTCTGTTTCGATATCTGTTCTGTAAGCGATAAGTCTTGGGAGTATCTAAGTCCTAAGTCTACTACTGTATGTAACCTAGTTAACATTTCTCCATTTATGGTAAGGTCTAGGTTAAGTGATGTATCGCCGAAGCATATCCATCCACATTTAGCCGTATTAAGTTCCAGTTGCCATTTTAAGCACCACTGTGCTACCTTGTTAAGCTCCAAGTTAATGCAAGTTTGCATATTTTCCAGCTCATGTGGAGAAAATGAATATACTAGTTTAAGATCATCTGCATATAGAAGGGGCTTACCTACACAAAAATTTTCACAAATGTCATTGATAAACACTAAATAGAGCAGAGGGCCTAAGACACTACCTTGTATTACACCACTTCTAATGGGGACAGCGTTAGACAATGAAGAGTTAATTTTAACTATTTGATGTCGATTGCTGAGAAATGAATCAATCCAATCTAGCAAAGGATTTTGAACCCCATAAGATGCAAGTTTGCACATAAGAAGTTGGTGGTTAACCATGTCAAAGGCTTTAGAATTGTCCATATATAGCACCAAGATCAGATATCCTTGCCTACGTAGAGAGTAGACTAAATTAAAGAAGTCGAAATGACATGTCATACAAGATCGATTTTTGAGAAATCCATGTTGAGTATCATTGATAAAGTTTCCAGCGAGTAAATAGTTGGAAAGTTCATCACTTACAATTTTCTCCATAATCCTAGAGATTACTGGAGTAATATTTATTGGCCGATAATTGTTCATGTCAGTCTTATCTCCAGATTTACAACGTGGTATGATGTACGCGGTTTTCCAACAGTAAGGGTAAAAACCAGTTTCCATAGAGAGAGTAAACAGCTTTAGAAGAAGAAGTGGAATATCTGAACCACCATATTTGTAGAGAAAGGATGGAATCCCGTCTGCTCCATGACCGCGCGAAAGCTTAAGGACATTTGTAGCCATATTAATTTTCTTACATATGAAGGAGATAGATTTTATGTAGTTGCTGGTCACGCACGTACCTCTTGAAGCAGAGCCACTTGTGGTTCCTACATCATTCGCAAAAGTACCACTGAAAAGGTCTGCCATAGTTTTAGAGTCGTATATAAAAGTATTATTATGCTGGATGCATGGTATATCAACAGTTTGAGTTACTTTAGCGCGTTTATTGAGAAGTAGAGTTAAGTTTTGTACTTTTGGGTTACTGTTAAGTGCCAGTATCTCCTCAATAATGGCTTTTAACCTATGTGTCTCTTTAATTTGATTAAAAATAATTGTTATTTGTGCACCTGCCGTGAAGTCGTTTGACTTGAAATAACAATTCTGTAGGCGTCTTAGTTTATTACGATATTTAGCTGGTATATATAATTCGTAAGGTTTAATAAACCTGTACGTTTTAAGAGGTACAGAAGAATCTAAACAAGAGTTAACGATCAAATAGAACTCGTCGATAGTATCTATGAGATTAGTACATGAAAAAAAGTTATCCCAGTCTGAAAGTTTAATCAGTGAATGCAGGAGGTCCCAGTCGGCATGCTTAAAGTCTCTATATTGACAGGTTTTTTGAATGGGTCGGTTAGAAGAGGGATATATAGGGAGAGAGCATACTACTGTCTTATGGTCACTGCTTTCAAATTCATCGTATACCTTTACAGACAGTGGGATAATATCTTTACTAAATATTAGATCGAGTATACTATCACCTCTAGTTGGGGTACGAACCCACTGTGACCAACAGTGCATGTTAATGGTTGCCAAGAACTCCTCATTACATGACTGACAGCTACCGGTACTCCAGTTAATCCCAGGATAATTGAAATCACCAGTGATAACCTTAGCATTGAAGTTTAGAGCAGATGCATGTATGAATGCATTGATAATAAGATTATTCCCATTATTTGAGCTCTCAGGAGCTCTGTATATACATCCAAGGAGTAGACTATGATTCAGGGTGTTGACAGATATCCAGACTGATTCTGGTAAACTATTCAGGACACTATCTTCAACTCTATTAGTTGTTAGGGTATCCAAAGCATATATAATACAACCACCTCCTCGCTTAGTTTCTCTGTCACAGCGATAGAGTCTATAGTTTTGGATATTTAATTCTGAATCAGATACTGCATGAGAGCACCATGTTTCAGTGATAAGTATGAAAGAAGGCTTGGATAGAAAGGCTAATGTTCTCAAGGCTGAAATTTTGTTCAGAAGTGAACGTGCATTGATAAGTAATAGATTTAGAAAGGGCGTATGGAGTGTAAAAAAACCGAGAGCTTCCCTATTGATGTCGTGTATTTTGGATTTGCATAGACTGTGGTTTATTATGTTTGGCTGATCACATGGGCGATCGCTTGAGCAAACCGTAGTGCTAGTGGGACCAGGGATTTCTGAAGGCCAAAAAAATCATTATTTTGATAAAGCGGATTAATTTGTTGAACTTGACTAGGCGGACAGTTAAGACAAGGTTGGGTTGATGGTGAGTAACCCAGTAATCCATCTTGCCCAATGGGAAAGTGTTGAGAAAAGTTATGTGTTACTGGTATATTATTTGAAAAGTTTGATGTTGGGTAACCTAGTAATCCATCTTGCCTAATGGGAAAGTGTTGAGAGAGGTTACGTCTTACAGGTTTATCATTTAAAGCGTTTGAGGGTACTCGTGAGGCTCGTTGGTTTACTGTGGTCTGTCCAGTATTAGGCCTACTTACATAAAGATTGAAGTGGCCGTCTTGTGAGACATTTGAACCAGGTCTGCCCTTATATCCTCCCCTACGATGCGTTGGGTAAAGCATGGTGTCGGGTAGTTTAGTCTTATTTGTATTGAATAGGGCCATCGTAATACTTTTATTATTGGGTCTAGAACCAGAAGGTTCTGTACAAACATTCTTCTTACGTGGCATAGACTTTTTAATCTTGACAGTGTTTTTAAGAGCTGTCGCATTAGGACTAGGTATTTGCTTATGGGCTTCTAATGGTAAATTGGATACTATCGGATTAGTGTAATCAGTAGATGTACATTGCTTATCAGATGTCACTACAGGCATAATAGGTAAGTTAGCACTCTTCGTTGGCAGATCAGAGTACTGGAGAACATGAGATAGGGTATCAGTATCAGTGGATCCCGCAGCTGATGCGTCGTGAGTTTTTATGATCTCAACATCTATATTTTCGTTCACGGTACGCTTTTGCGTAAGTCTTTGATTGGTGGTCTTATCTGAGACTATGCGAGCGTTTCTAAACTTCGTAAGCGCGCATATCAGCCGCTCAGATTCTTTTAACTGTTCAGCTAATATATGAGAATCAAACCTGAACAAGACCGGGCACGAGTATTTCTGGTGCTTCTTAGTAAGTCGGATGCATTGGCATGGACTGTCTTGAAGGTTAGATGCTTTTAATATCGAATTCCTTACAGTTTTAATGGAGACTTTGTCAGGTATATTATAGACAATCACGTTATTACGAGAGACTATTCGCTTGGTAACTTCACTAGCGATAAAATCGATAACAGATTCTGCTTTTATAATGTCATCAAGTTCCGCAGGAACGATGTCTTTTGACAAAAGCAGTTTTAAAGGTGATAGTGTCTTTAGTTCTTGCTTAAGATCATCATGCTTTGATAAAGAGCTAGAAAGTGACTCGACTTTAGAACGCATGTCGCTTAGTTGCTTAAACAGACTGTTTAATTCACTCTTCATATCATCGATCCTTTTTGATCTTGAGGTGGAACCCATCACTAAATTAGAAACAGAGTCGTCCAGCAGCACGTGTGGTGAAAGACCAGTCCCAACATTATCAGATACAAAAGGAGTAGCGGAGCAAGAAGAATAGGTAATAACAGAATTGTTAATATCTGAAGAGTTAGGACTTTTCCGTGCTCGTTTTTTTGACAGTCGACCCATATTGCTTAAAGTATGAATTCTAAAGCTATGTATGAGTTATAAACTAGGACTCAACGATATACAATCAATATATATTAGATAGTGTTATCGTAACGCAAACTTCAAACGTACCGCACAATAATAATAGTATTATGTAACGCATATGAGAAGAATTATGTGAGTAACAATTGACGTTGATAGTCATTTCCGTCCGCTTTCTGAACGTATACAGGAACAGTATATAGCACCACTAGAAGTGTCACATTAAGTAGTCACAAAGTGTTCATAAGTAAAACGATTTGTTTCTTTTGGGCAAGGTTGTGTGCTACAACTATTCCGAACGGCTCCAATAATGTCGTTATAATTTCTTATGTCTTTTATATATATTGTTAAATATTCCGTTTGTTGGTTTCTCTACTTCATTTTGGTTCGGCTTGATGCATTGGATTGATATCTTTTGATGTTGATTGGGTAGCCGTTCTTTTGAAAGATAGTCTTAAGATATCTTCTTCCAAAATATATGTAAAGGTGTATGAAAATGGTTATTTTGTCTAAAAATATTGTTTGATATACTCATTGTTGTCATAAACGTTACAATAGTGAGCTTCAAAACCAAAATACTTCTGATACTGACAAATTATACTTAGCTATCAATCTGTATGTTGGTTACTAGGTGATTGAGTGTCGTCCCAATTTGTGCTCCGGTTCATTTTCCGTCAAGTATATTTTACTACTGTCTTATTTATTTCTGGTTTGGTCAGTTTTGTCAATCAAAGGAAAATCTTTATTTACAGGCGAATATAGAGTCACTATATAACTGACTATATTAATAAGTTTAGCGACTTTAAAAATTTTACTATTTACTTTGATCTGGATTTTACCCAATAATCTTCTGGATGTAAATCATTCTATTCTCAAAGTATTTTCTGCCTTATATTTTTCTTTAGGATATATTCCATATTTCGTGAATAATGTGCACTGATTGTTTCTTTTGGGCATGGTGACAAAACCATCTCCTAGTTAATACTGAAACCAATAACATTTCATTTAAATCACAAACCTGGTATAAAGAAATGTCATGAGACTGTGAAGCGTTCACAGTAATATGATTTTCCGTATATGTTCTGCAGATTACCGATGAATTTCTATTAACGGAATCCGAAATCTGTTGTGAATAACATTGTTGCAAATAAGAGATTTATAGGTACATTCTGTTACCTGCTATTTGATAAACGTAATGAATATAATACGGCTAAGTAAGCTTAATTGTTTGTTTCAAGACTGATTTTTTGTTTCTCAGTATTGTATGAAGCTATTAAGGTCCTCAAAGCATTGCGATAATGTTTACGCCGGTGTACAACTTATGGAATTTGTGATTATGAATTATCATGTGGAAAACCGGTTTACAAGTTTACGACAACTGTGTTCTATATTGCATA